GAGGCGGTCTCGAAGGTAACCAGGTCCGATGCCATGGAGCGCTTTAAAGATAATAATCAGCACCTTGAAGCGCACCCGGAAGGCCACCGGCAGCCAATGCAGCTCGCGCAAAAGCGGCGTGACGTGGGAGCGACGAGTCCCTCCCAACACCGCCCGCGCGGCCGCATTTTGAACTAGCTGGAGCCTCCGGGTGCTCCTCCAGGGAAGCCCCATGTAGAGAGCATTTAGGGTGAAGTTAAATCAGTTAAAATATTGCGCCCATCGTACTTGTTTTGGGGACAATTTGAGGGGAGTTTTCAGTGCCTCTAGGTTTTTTTGATCAGTCCATACCTCGAAAGGCACCTTGCTCCCTTCTAGATAGTGACGCCAGTTTAATAGAGCCCAACGAATCACGAAGGCTTCCTTCTCCCACACAGCCCACCTCCTCTCGCAATCAGTGATTTTTTTACGAGGTGTAGGCACAGGGTTGTAGGACCACATCCTGGTTCTTTTGCAATAGCACAGCTCTGACGGCCATGTCGCTGGCATCGGCTTGATTCACAGAGTTTCCCTGAACAAGGATGCTTTAAGACCAGCTCGACCGCAAATAGCCTTTTCAAGTTCTCAAAAGCAGTTTGACAGTTCATAGTCCATGCTAGCGGTTGGCCCATCCATGGTTTTCCCCCTTCCTTTCCAGTTCTCAATAAGTCAGTGAGGGGTAATGCAATTTCGGCGAAGGAGTGGATGAACTGTCGGTAAAAGTTGGCGAACCCTAGAAAGCTCTGAAGCTGTTTGTGTGTCTTTGGGGGTTGCCATTCGATCACGGCTTTCACTTTGGCGGGGTCCATTTCAATACCCTCACTGGAAATTCGATAGCAAAGGTAATCTAGTCGGGTCTGATGGAACTCACACTTTGATGGCTTAACATATAGTTTGGCATTCAGCAATTTCTTTAACACTTCCCGCACCAATTTTACGTGATCAGCCATATTTGTGCTGTATATCAGGATGTCATCAAGATACACCAAAACCCCTTTGTATAAATGATTATGTAACACCTGATTGATCAACTGCATGAAAATGGCTGGAGTCCCCTGTAGTCCAAATGGCATGACTTTAAATTGATAGCTTCCCATGGGACAGTTAAAAGCAGGTTTCCACTCATCTCCTTCTTTTATCCTTACTCGATAATATGCCTCTCTCAGGTCCAATTTAGTGAAGATGCTCCCCTTCGCCAGGTGGGTTAGTAGGTCCTTCAGGAGGGGGAGGGAATACTTGTTTTCCATGCTTACAGTGCTTAACTCTTTATAATCCATGCAGAGACGAAGTAACCCGTCTTTTTTTTACTTAAATAACACCAGACCCCCCACCTGAGAATTGGCCCATTCAAATAAATCCTCTTGCTAGGTTCTTGTTGACATACTGTTGCAGTTCCTCCATTTCAAGGGGAGTCATAGCGTACATCCTTGGCTATGGGAGTTTGGCCCTCGGTAGCAGCTCAATGGAGCAGTCATTAGGCCGATGGGGTGGCAGGATGTCGCATTCCTTTTTGTTAAAGACCTCCGATAGGTTCCGGTACTCGCTGGGGATGAGTGGCTCGCCTGGTTGAGACAGAGCAGCTATTTTTGCTAGTTCATTAGATGGGCCAAACTCTCCAGTAACTTCAGTCAAGTTAACAGGGGGCTTGGGTGTTATTTAAGGGGGAAAAAGATGGGTCGCTTCCAGAGTGGGTTAATGTCATGGTTCCGATAGATGATGATGATAGATGAAACCCTATATATTATTTGTAACAACTCCAGAAGAGGAGAAAGCCATTCAATGTGATTGTGAAGTTCTTTGCAGTCATCTGATGTGATTTCCTGCGCTGAAGTGGGTCTCCCACTTGATTTACAAATCTGTTTCAGTGAGGTGATTCAATCAATGCTTCATCAAAACCAAAGACTCCTGTAAAGATTTGCTACTAAAATCCTACTTAATATCATTCCCAAAATAT